AAGGAAAAAAGGTAAGCTTTTTGTGTGTGTGTGTGTGTGTGTGTGTGTGTGTGTGTGTGTGTGTGTGGAACCGGGAAGATAAGCTTTTTTAAGGAAGGTAGAGTTTCCAAAGATTATTTTTCCACTGACGAGACTGTTAGGGAGCTGAGAAGCTTAGAGGCTGAAGGGACACTAGGGGCCTGAGGCCACTGCAGGGTGACCTGACAGGTCCTCGGCCAGGCCACACTCCAGGGAATTCTATCCTGGGGAAGCCGAGGCACCTGAGAACCCCAAACTGGGGGGGTCCCCCACTAAGAGAGGAGCAGGTGGTGGCAGACTGTGGACAGACAGATGTCACCTTCGTCATCCCCAGACCGTGTCTGGCCTGAATCTCCAGCAGCAAGCAGCCCTCAAGGGCAGCAGTGCCCACTGTGTTCCACACCCAGGGGGCTCGAGGGATGCTCTGCAGATACACTTCCCCCTTCCCCCCAGGATCAGCAGGCTCTGCTCCTCCAAGCTCAGTGCCCCCAGGGCCTGGGCATGTGGAGCTTGAGGGCCAGAAGTCTGAGCAAAGGTGGCAGGGAGGGCCAGAGGCTGGCTGGACCAGGGACCACAGGCTCCGGCCAGCAGGAAGAGCACTTACTCCCCTCCTGCAATTGCTGCCACACACGGGCATGGCCAGAGCCCAGCACTACCAGACTTTCCAGGTTTTTAAGAAATCTGGAGAAATGGACGCTCTGGGGACGTTCCCAGGCAGTGTGCTTTTCAATGTTATGCAGGCGGGAGGGTTGCTGTAAGTTTGTGACCTGGCCTGAGCCTTCTTATGTGACACTGTGGATGGGGCTGGCCTCCCGTGGGGTTCCTGCCCTCCTGTGGCCTTAGGAAGACCCCAGGCCACGTCAGGAGGAAGGACAACATGCAGTGTAACAGGGCTCCCTTTTGGCTTCTAGGTTCCTGGGCCACCAGGGCCAGAGGGGCCTCCTGGACCTCCGGTGAGTTGGAGGCCTTGTCCAGTCCCCTGTGGCCAGGTCCTCAAGGTCCCTCCCACGTTAAACGCTCCATCCCAGGGACATCAAGGAGCCTGCAGCATGGGGGATTCTCTGGAAACAGCTGACCCGCATGGCAGCCCCTGCTTTCTCTCCAGCTCTGCCTGACATTTTTTAATCCTTTGCTGTTCAACATCTGGCCCTTCCTGACCTCCCTCCTGCTACCCAGCTGGCAAGAAAACAGGATCAAAATTTCACAGTGGCCTAGTTTTTTTCAAAAAGGATGTGGCTCAGAACACCAGCCGGGGGCTGGCCTTCCCTGTGATTATAGAAATGTAACCTGGGACCCCTTCTACTGCACCTAGGGGCCCCCATGCACCCCAACCCCACAAGTGCTCATCTGCCCTGCTGCACCGCTCACAGTCCCCACAGCTCTGTGTGTCACCTGTCCTCACAGGCAGAAGTGGAGCGGCAACAGTGATAGCAGCCAACATTGACTGAAACCTGCCATGCGCCGAGCTAAACACTTTGTATGCATTATTTCATCTTTGCTGTGTTTCTTTAGTCTCCCCTTCATGAGATTCTGGGTCAGCCACAGGAGCCACAGAGAAATGTTCTGTCAGCGCCTGGCTGCAGAACCCTGGCCCCAAGAAGCCCCAAGCAGTGTCCCTCTTCACATTCCCTTCTGGCCGTCATGGGCAGGGATGCCAGACCACAAGCTGCACTCCAACCCCAGCTCTTCTGCCAGCCAGCCCAAGGGTGGGGGGAACTGATCTAGGAGCACAGTTCTAACGGACCTTGTTTTGATTCCAACTGCAGGGGCTCCAAGGTCTGCCTGGACCAAAGGTAAGAAGAGGCCATGTGGCTGGAGCTGGGGAAGGGACGAGGAGGGCATGGTCCAGTGAAGGCCGAAAGGGCCCAGCTGGCCCACCTCCCTAAACGGCCCTGTGTGAATCATGGATACCACTGGGGCAGGACAAGCTTCCTGCACCCCTTTAACGTCCAGCAGTGCCACCCGCATGCTCGGGACACAGAATTTTCCCACCCATCTGCTGCCTCCACAGGGTGACAGGCGAGGTTCTTGGAAAACATGAACTACTTTCCCATCTCACCTGCCTGACCCTTCACCGCCCTGAAGTACAGGAGGAAAACAGACAGCAGTGTCACCCAGGACCCCTCTCAGGGCCAATCCCAAGGGCCTCTGCTCTGGGGCTCTCGTGACCTCCCCTGCAGCATTGCAAATAAATAAAAGGGGCTGGCAACTACACAGGACAGTGGCCTTCACCCTCTGCCCTGGCACTGTCTGGGAGTTTCTTCTCCCAACCAGTTAGTGAGCCCCTGTGGTCTAGTGGTATGTCTTGGGCATTCCCCAGCAGATCCTGCAGGAGTCTGCTTTTCCTGCCCTGCAAATGGCCCCTGTCCTGAAGCCTGACCCAGAACTGCCCTATGTGTAGTCCCCTCTCCATTCATCCCTTTTACTATGAAGGATGCTAAGTATGACAATGACAGGCTGGTGACTCCAGATTCTTGGCACCCCAGCTGCAACCTGCACCTCCTCCCTCCTCAACAAAAAGGATGAGATGGGAATGAGCTGTGGGTCATGCCCTTCTGTGACCTCCTCCATCTCCCTCTCCTTCAGGGGGAAGCAGGACTAGATGGAGAGAAAGGAGAGAAGGGTGTCCAGGGAGAAAAAGGAGACCGAGGGCCTCTGGGATTACCCGTAAGTACCTGGGCCCCAGCAAGACCATTGCAAGCAGACCACTGGGGTGGCCCTGGCCAGGGACTGGGGCAAGAGCTGCACAGAAAGCCCAGGTTCTGAAGCTCTGAGCACTCCACACTCCCTGCAGCCTTCCTTCCCACTTGGGCATGACCACAGACTTCAACTTTTTGAGCCTCTCCCCACAGCAGGCCTTGCCTTGGTGCTTAGGGAAAGTGACACTAAGAAGGACAAGGTTCCCACCCCCAGCAGGCTGGGTGGAAAGGCAGAGGGACCCAAGATCAGCCTCAGGGCCTGTTGTGCCTGATTCAGGGCAAGCAAGTCTGCAAAGGAACTAGTTGGGCAGACAGAGACAGACATTGCTCCTTTAAGGACTTGGGAGTAGTAGACAGTGAGGTACTCTCCATCTCACCTGTTTCCCGGAAGGACCTCCCAAGAACCTTGCTCTGTCCACTAGCCTCAGCAGTGAAGTAGGTAACAGGCACACTCTGGGCCCAGCAGACTAAGCCCACTTTCGCCCAGGAACCCAGAAAGCTCTGCCTGCTCAGAGGTCCCTGGTCAGTGGCTCAGGCTCTCAGGAGGCATCTACTTGTCCAGAGGTAGGGACTAGTCTGGTCCAGCCAGGGCCCCAGGTCCCCATGGCCTGATGGCTGTCACGGCCCACCCATGTCCAGGGGAGCACAGCACACCCTACTGAGGCTGGCACCCTGTGAGCTGGGTTTTCAAGAGCTGGCGGGGGCATCAGCAACACATGGCATCATTTCATCAATGGCCAGCTGAGGTCACAAAGGAACTAGGTGGACAGGTAGGGCCAGACATCGCTCCTCCACTGAGTCCACGTCCTTGCCGTGGAGCTCATTTAAGCTATTCTGCCTTCCTCCAGACCCCACTCAAGGTCTGACCCCACCCCCAGGTAGCCATCATGGTCTAGGTAACAATGGGAAACCAATTACCCCAGCTCTGCAGAGCCTGAAGATCTGGTTCGTATAATCACAGCCAAAGCAAAAGAAATTACAGCCTCATTAATGCACAAATGTAGGAATATTTAAGAAGCTGATTTGCTTGACAGATTAATAAATCAATGACTTGAACAGACATTTTCCGTATTATAAGCTGTGTCTGCAATGAATAGGGTGCACCTTCCTATGGGAACTCCCTCTTGTCTGCACCCACGCACAATTCTCTCTTTACCCACCTTCATGGCCCCAACAGCCCCAGTGAACATTAGAGAATGCAATCAGGGCCTGACATGCAGGTGACAGTGACGAGACAGGTCCTATAATCAGAAAGTGCCATGTGAAAGCCATGGTGCCCAATCTCTATTGAATTCTCCAGCTTTTGGAGAGAGGCATGTCCTGCTCTTGGAGACTGGTGGCACTGGGCTGGGGTGGGGTCTGGGCATCTGGATTGGTGAGGCCAGTCTAGAAGATGCTAATGTGCACTGGAGTTGAGAACCTCAGTCATAGCCGGAAGGACCAGGGGGCCGAGAGCCATGCTGGTCCAACACTGAGAAGCCAGGCCTCGGCAGATCTTCCGCCTGAAGCTCTTTCTCTGGGAGGAGTCAGCTTCCTCCACCTTAAAATCTTGAGGCTCAGGCACAGCTCTGAGCTCAGCAGGAAGCAGTTTCCAGGAAGTCAGCCCTTACTGGCGAGAGTGCTCAGCTGCCTTCTCTTTAGCTCGTCACACGGGCACCTTCAGCAATGTGCCCCTGGGTTTCTTAGGTGGACAGCAGGACCAGCTCCTTAGCCTGGCACTGGGGCTCCATTCCCATCACGAATGGGCTTGTTTCTGAGCACCGCCCACCTGCCTGATTGCCATGGGGGGCTTGAAGCCTCAGACCTATGATCCAGTCAGCTGCCCCCAAGGCCTCTTCTGTGAAGGGTCTTCTGTGTTCGCAGCCTGTGGACAGAGCCTGCTCAGGTTCTTCAAATGATACAAAGCCAGTGAAATGCCAAGCCCTGCCCGCAAGCTCAGGGGCTGGTGTCTTGCAGCCAGCTGCTTCCCAGGTTCCCAAAGCAGATGCTAAGGCTCAGGGCTGACCAGGACGAGGAAAAGTGGAGGAGTGCGGGCGTCTGGCCTGATCTCAACCAGTGTGCAGCAGCTGAGAAGGGCCCCCTCGCTTGGTTCCTCAGCAAGGCCTCGTCCTTCCCAGGAATCCCATCCTGGGCAGAGTACATAACCCTTGTCCAGACATCTCCCAGGATTCCCTTTCTCTGTCCTTTTCCCTGGAGCCCTGAGCCCCTGGGCAAGGGGTTCCTGAGGTGTGTGGAGGACCAGAGCAGCCTCTGTGTTGGTCCCTACCCAGCCTGCTCAGTGGTGGCCGCAGCGTTTGGTGTCTCCGTGTTGTCCTGGTCTCCGTGTAAACACACTCCCTGTCCTCCAGGCTCGTTCCTCCCGTCGTGTTTGATGCCAGCGTTTGTGTCTGTCCAGAGTCATGCTTACTCACCTCTTCCCTTCCCGTTGTCCCTTTCTCTCCCTCCCACTCTGCCCTTCCCTTCTTTTGGTCAAACTGTGCCCTTCGTCCAGGGAGCGTCAGGTTTGGACGGCAGGCCGGGGCCACCGGTGAGTGTCACTTCTCCCCACTCCCAGCCTACAATCCCTCCTGTCTGTCCCACTGTGGCCTCGTTTCCTCAGTAAGTCATGCCTTGCCCCACCACAGACACCAGAAAGGTCCCATCTATGCTCAGGTCAGAGTGCTTTTGCAGGCGCCCCCTCTACCCCATGCACCCAGGGACCTTGGTTCTGCGGACATGTCCAGAGCCCAAAGGACAGCTGGATCCCCAGCAAACACACCAGTGTCTGTTTGTGCCCGTCCCGCTGCGTTGTCGTCAAGCCGTGAGCTCTGTCCTCCTGTCTACCTGTGGGGCTTCACTATCCCGCACAGCCTGCCTGGTGGGCATGAGCAGAGCAGAGGCCAGTGCCAGCTCCGTGTCCCATGCACATGTTTCAGCCATAGACCTTTCACCACCAGGGTCCACTGCCACCCGCTGCTCAGCAAGGGGATGTGTTACAGAGTAGGGACAGGGCTCTTGTATCCCCTTTCTCCAGTTCTTCTGTGTAACAAACAGCAGAGGCAAAAGAGACAGTGGCCTCCTCCACCTTCGGTCCCTGCCCCAAGCATCATGAGGACTCCATGTCATGGCCTGTCTCGGTATCATGTCTCCATGACACGTCTCTGTGTCATGGAGTGGGGTCACTCCCTCTCCAGGGCTAACAGTCCAACTCCTCTGCTCAGGGGCCACACAAGCCTTGTGTGTGCCAAGCCCCTCCCAGCTAGTGGATCTCCTGTCTGCCTAGAGCCTGCTTTGGGGCCATGTTGGCCCATGGTCCACCAGGTGATCAGGCCTGGATGAGCAGGTGAAGGAGGCAGGGGGCTGAGACTCCTGGGGCTGATGCGGTGACTGCAGGAGCGGTGTTCACACCCCTGCTCTGGGACTAGCAGCGGCCTGGGAGCAGACACTCACGCTGCCCGAGGTTTTAGAGTGGGAAGACCTGGCGCTGAGACAGGACCCGAGAGTCCGGGGCCCCTCAGGTGCCTGGAGCCCAGCCCAGGGATGCTGGAGCCCTGTTCTGAGCCTGCTCTGGCTTTTAGCTGTGCCTCCTCAAAATGGCCTGTGGCTCTTTCTCTTCATGTAAAGGAAATCAGCTTTTCCCCGTCTGTGGTGTCCCGCTTTCACAGCTACTCTCAGACGCCCCACATTCTCATCTGAGTTAGATGTGTAAACACTGAGGCAGAGAAATAGGAGCTGTGACACACATACTTGGTCCAGTCTGACCACAGAGGGGGCCTGGGGAAGACATCCAGTGATGCCACAGCACCTGCGCAGTCTCTGAGCAACGCCGCTCCAGCGCCTCCCTCCCCCAGCTCCCTGCTGCCCTGGCTCGGGGAGCACCTGCCCACCTCCCTGCAGGCCTGTGCACTGCAGACACCAGAATGCCGTCCACTCTCTTTCAGCCTATTCTGCAGCTGGAAAACAAAAAGCTAGAGGCTGGCGCCAGAGACAGGTCCACGGGGGTGGCAGGGTGGGTGCTGCTGAGTGACCCTCGCTCTCCTGCCTCTGTGTGCGTCCGCATTGGTCCCTGTGGCATGAAAACCCTCCCGCTGCATGTGGAGCTGTGACAGAGTGCCAGCCCCAGCCCCTGTCCTGGAACGTGGTCGCCTCCCTCCCAAGTGCTTCTGGGAGCAAACTAAGCAGCGTTCTCCTGTTGTTTTCAGCCTTGGTGAGCTTGGTTATGACGTGAAAGGGTTTCATTCCACGAATCTGGCTCTGAGGCAGCGTGGAGGTGCTTTCTCCTCTGAGACCCCCAAACCCAAAAAACATCGCAACCCAGTCGCGTGACTGCCCTGAACACGCCTGGCCTCGCCAACCCTGAAAACCAGTCTTGGACCTCACTCCTCTCCAGGCAGGACTCTCCTGGCTCCCAACCTAGTGTCTCACCTCTACTCTCTTTACCTCCCAGGGTACCCCAGGACCAATTGGCATTCCAGGCCCCGCAGGACCAAAGGGCGAGAGGGTGAGCACTCCGGGGGGCCAGGAGGGAGGGATCAGGCGGTCCTTCCTCAGCCCCAGCCTGGGATCTGCAACCCCACTGGTTACTGTGTTGGCCCCAGGGGTCTTAGCCCTCAGCCCTCTCCTCTCTGTCACTGTCACAGCAGCCCTGGGGAGCTGGCAGGCCTGTGCCCATGAGTGGGCAATCTGGAAAGGTGAGACACAGCCTCCACCTCGGCCTGCACTCACCTCGTATCTGTCACAGTGCAGCCTGACAAGGCTTCCAGTGCTGCTGTCACTGCCCATCTTACAGTTGTCATAATGTAAGGACCAGCACAGAACAGCGTGCCAGTGGCGATTAGAAGTTTCCCAGAGGACATCAAGAAGTCTGGAGGGAGGGCCAAATAGTTCACTGGACTAAAGCACCTGCTGAGGCAGAGCGCAGCAGCTGGGGTTCAATCCCTAGCTTGCTGTGCCGGCCCCACCCCCAGAGTGCGCTGAGATGGCAATTGAGACTGGGCGTGGTGGTGCAAGCCTATAATCCCAGCACTTGGGAGGTTGAAAACAGGACAATCACTACAAGTCCAATCTACATAGTGAGAACCTGTACACCCTGTAGACCCTGTCCTAAATTCAAAAGAAAAAAAAGTCTGGAGGGGAGAGCACCAGGCTTGGTTCCTGTGCCCTGGCCATGTTGCTTGACACCCTGATGTGGGCCCATTCTGTGTAGAGCAGGCCTAAGTGAGATTGAGGGTGGCAGGATGCAGCTTGGTGCAGACGGGAGAGCAGGGTTCTTTCTCATCTTTACTCCTCCAGCTGGAGCCCAGGGCATCCACTGGGCTTTCCAGCTGCCAGAAGCTCCCCTCCGTCCACCCACCTTGCTGGCTCCATCCGGGGCTGAAGGGACAGGGAGGGTGGGTTGTGTCCACAGAGGACTAATGGTCATCCTGAGGACTGGCTCTGCAGCTTCAGAGACAATATCAAAGCCATCCTGTCCATTCCTTTCTTCTTCTGCATTGGCCCATATACCAGCCCTTCTGGAGGCTCTGGGGGGACAGACTACATTGGAGAGGATGAAGGGGCTCTCAGAGCCTCCAGGCACGTTGGGACCACCAGCCCCCCCCCACACACACACACACACCTTCCACACAGCCCTTGCTTCCTGAGGGCTTTGAGGCGGTTGGAGAGGTTGTCCAGGCTTTGTGCTAGAATAGGCAATGGTGACAGAAGGTTATTGCCACATCAGAAAGGATTCAAAGGCTTCTCTTGTTTCAGGGCAGCAAAGGAGATCCAGGGATGACAGGACCAACGGGAGCAGCTGGGCTTCCTGTGAGTCCCGTGAGACCAGAAGTGTTCTCTGTCTCTGTGTCTCTCTGTATCCTTGTCTCTGTCTCTCAGTATCTCTGGCTCTCTCTCTGTCACTGTCTCTCTCTCTGTCTGTCTGTCTCTCTGTCTGTCTGTCTCTCTGTCTGTCTCTCTCTCTCTCTCTCTCTCTCTCTCTCTCTCTCTCTCTCTGTTTGCCTCTGTCTCTATTTCTCTCTCGCCCTCTCTCCTTCTCCCTGTCAATCTTTCCCCCACCCCACCCTTGTACTCACTGAAAACCAGAGCGCAACAGAACGGCCAGAGTCAGGGGCATTCTGTAACAAAGGATGCCACCAAGAGGCTCCTGGTGGGGGAGCTGGAACTCACAAAGGCACTCTGAGGAGCTAAACCCAGGGGAACAGATCACAGGGCATAACAGCACATCTGGAGCCCCGTGTCAGGTGCACGGAACTGCCCACGTGACTGTGCCACCACCTCTGCCCTCAAAGAAGGGAAGCATCAAATCAGATCCCTGTGACACAGAGAGGAGACACTCCAAAACCCACCATTACCTATTTTCCAAGAGAACTGGACCTTAAGGAGCAGCCTGAGCTCTGTCTGCAGTGTGCTTGTCCAACGCTTCATTGTGAAAGCCGAGTGTCCACCTGAAAGGGCCTGAGTGGCTCGCTGAACTTAAAGGCTGTAGTGACATGTTGCCTAAGGAGACCAGGCCAGTCTGCTCATGCTTATTGCCCAAAGCCATTTGTCACCTTGCAAGAAGGTCTGAGAAGCTGTGGAGGAGTCATTTTGCCTGTGCAGGCCCAGCAGGAGAGCCATAAGTGCTGCTCTGCAGGGGCATCCTGTCCCTGCCCGCCACATCTGCAGAGCTGACCATTCATCTGCATTAGTGACCCTGGAAGAACACACCTGGGACATGGGCTCAAGACTGAGGAAACCAGAACCGTGGTCTTTGCTTTGCCCATAACTCATCATTCACCTCTAGGTCAAGTTCTGTGATGGTTTTGCTCATCTGTCCGCCTATAAAACAGGGGTGATCGGACCTGTCTCTGCCGAGTCAGGCATCAGCAGGCAGCTTTCGGAGCCTGGAACGAAGACTGTGTGGCTGGCTGTTCTGCATCTTCTCATTAACATGTCTTCATCTCTCTGATTTACTGCAGGGTTTACACGGACCACCCGGTGATAAAGGAAACCGGGTAAGTCAGAGCCCACATACTTTGGCCCTGGTTACTAATGTTTTCATGATGGGCTGGAATGATCTGCTGGGGTGTCCTGACCTAACATGGAAATACAGCATTTCCCGATAAATCACCTTCAGTTGAAAGGGTTTATATTAAGGGGCTTAATCCAAGACATGCAGGGAGTCTGGGCTAATCCTGAAATTGAAGCACCTATTGGGCCACACTTCAAGGGAAGCTAAGCCCCCAGTGGCCACCAGATTAGCCTTGCCATCCAGGAACAGGAGCTGCAAGTGCAGCCCTCTCCGTGTCACCCTGATGATGGGCCCCTAAATATATTTTTAGATCCATCATTGCCTCTGCCTTGCCTTCTGAAAGTTAGTTTTTCTGGGCACTCCAGACCACTGGTGAGAAAATAAATTCCAGTTCCTTGAACAAGCAGAGAGATGTTGCACACAGCCAAGCCTTTAAAAAAAAAAAAAAAAAAAGACACTGCTATTTCTCTTGAAAAGAGGCTGCTGGCCTCCCAGGCCCCTTGCTCTCCCCGTTTCTGCCATCCTTACCAGGACAGTGGTGCATGACACATGCTGTGGCCCTGGGCCTGTGGGCACAGCAGGGATAATTTAACTATGTCCTTGCTTGAAGGTCTCCTTTGCGTCCTCCTCATGGTAGCTTCCTGTGGGGCGCACGCCCACTAGAGGCACAGAGCCGCCTGCCAGTGGGCCAAAAACACCTCAGAGAAAGAATGGGAGGAGCAGATGGAGGAACAGCCCAGAGTGAGGATGAGACGTACTAGAGCTAGAGGTGGAACACTGAATTGCTGAAGCCAGCTCTCATGGCTGACCTCTTAGGGCTGAGACTGTGTTCATGGATAGAAAGTGCCAGAATACACATGTCCATATGCAGCGCCAATTTCAGCCCATTCTCTTCGATATAAGAAGTGTTTGCTGAGTGCTTCTAGATCTAAATGCTCCTCACCGCAAGCTTAGCAAAAGCAACTCAGTTTGACCCACTGATTATGTAAACCAGTGGGAGCAGGCGGAAACACTCCTTCTAGATTGCCCATGCCAAAACCAAGTCTAGAAGCCACTGGAACGAATGATCTAATTCTGGATCCTTGGCCAACTTTTCAAGGCCAAACTAAGAGGCATCTCAGGAATTTAGGAAGGGGCAGCGGCAAGGAATTCAGGCCTGGACAGATGCAATCATTCCACCTCTTCAGCAGCATGCTAACCTCCTTTCTGACTTGTATCTAAAGTGTTCTGCTTTTATTATGTTTGATTTATGTTTTCAAAACCTATTTCTTGAGACATTTTCAGTTGGCTTAAGGTCTTGAGCTGTTTGAAGGCTGTAGAATCAGTCCTTCTAGTGACAGTGACCATAGCAGTAGCGGAGGACAGACAAGGGGCCCTGGTCACAGAGGGAGGGAGGAGGGAAGGAAAGATCAGTCAGCTCCTGGCTCTCATGCCAAAGGACAAGGTTGTTGGATGATTCACAGAGGTTGTGGGAATTAGTGGGGGAAGTAGTTCTTCTCAACTTGACACACTTTCCCTACCCCTATAGACACACTTTCCCTACCCCTATAGAAGTTAGAGTCAAAGACTTAGTCAAAGTCAAGCTCAGAAAATAGTACAGTTGCACAAATATGCCATCAAGAGCCACGTCACTTATACCACAGAGCAGTTTCTGAGGGACAGCTCTTCACCGAGAGAGCTGTCTCTCCTCCCCATTTTCACCTCTGTTTGCCACCAGCCTTATCAGAATTTTAGGGAGAGATTGAGAACTTGGTAATAAGGCTTCCAAAAGCCCAAGAAGACTCAGAGAAAGATGTTTTGTTTTTCTGCTGAAAGCTCGGGATTTTGATGCTTTTGTCAAGGTAAAATGCCACCAGGCTACACCCACACGCTGCTTAGAAGCCCTGCTGTTACACTGGAAGCTGAGCCAAGCTAGTGGAAGCCCCCACCGCACCCGAGTTTTGGGAGGTGACTGTCAGTAGACCCCAACACTGTCCTCATGGTGCCAAAGGGACCTCATCAGAGAGCTGTGCTACCTTTCAGTGAACCACAACACAACATGCTGCTCCACATCCCACCCAAGAGCAGTCTGGGAAACTCTTTCCTGGTCAGGAAAGGAAGAGTTCCTTGTGGCAGGGCCCCAACTGGGAACTTGCTGAGGACACACATGACAACAGAAAGCTGCTCTGCCCTGGTCGCTAAGGGAACATCCCGGGTCTCTAAGTAGCTCTATGAAACTGGCCTGGGAGCCATGAATAGCAAAGCCATCAGTCAAAGGGGAAGGAGAAGGTGAATCTAGCACCATGTTCATCAGGAAAATCGGGTGTTGCCCCGGAGCTGCCCGGAAGCCAGCCAACTGAAAAGGTCTGAGGCCGCTCTAGTATGCCTGCCTCGGTGTGGGTGTGTGCCCGCACACGCATGTGCTCGTGCATGTGCATGTCTTGCTTCTCTCAGCCCTCTTGTCTCCTCTTCCCCCAACCACTCTCTCTTCTGACCTGGGTGCTTTCTTTTGTCTTTCCCCCAAAAATGTTCACCCCATTATAATCCCACTCCCCTCATCCTCTCCTGGCCCCTCCCCACCTCCCAATGTATTTCCACAGAAATCAGCTTCCTGCATTTACTTTTACTGATTACGAGATCTCTGCATTCCACTCTGTCTGCTCCTTTCCCCCTTGAACGGCCCCTTGTGTGCCACCTCTGGGGCAGGAGGCTGGGAGGCCATAAGGAAAGGCACTAGGCTAACCTCCACCACAGGTGCCCGATTTGGAAGATGCCCCACCCTCAGAATGAGATGCACCATACCAGGTTATAGGTGCGCCATGAACACAGCAGGGAAGTCAGGCGTTCAATCCATGCTTTAGCCCCATGAAGGTCATCTAGGACCTGGGACCTCCCATTTGCCCACCTTCTCAGCAAGAAACTGTACTCCCACAGAGAATAAAGGGGCCGTCCTGGGGACACTTCCCATGGGCTGCTCCATCCAAATGGCTGCACCATTCAGGACTTAGTGATATCTCGGTCTCATGCCTTTGTGGCGATGGGCTCACATTGAAGATGTATATGCGTGTTTCCTCTTAAATACAAACTACTTTCTAAGTGGGGTGTGCATTTTAGAAAATTCGTTTAGAATAACATGCTGGCAATTGCAGACAGTCTCGAGAATCAAGAAATTTGGGTAATTTACAAAAATCCAAGGAAATGTTCTAGCACTTTAATCATCAGGGGAACTGGGTGTTACCAAGTACTCCTAATGTCTAAGCAGCTTGGTCCCCAAAGCCTGTCCCTGAAGACATGGCAAGACCTCAACCCTGTGGCGGCAGCCTTAGCTCCTCTACTGCTTGACAAGAAGTGGCAATGCTTACTGCTATCATCAGGCAGCAGCTGTCGTCTGTGAGCACACAACCGGTGCCTCACTAAGTGTGCACTCGTGTGCACACAGACCTGACCAGGAACTGCTGAAGCAGGTGTCACTGTACCCACCTACAGGTGGAGAGACTGAGGCTCAGAAAGGTTTAGTCGCTTCCTAAAGTTATGCCACTTATAACTGGCAAAACCAGCTTGAACTCCACGCCTTTGTTTTGACCAAAATTCTGCCCAGCCCTCAGAGGAGCCCTCCAAGGAGCACCTGGATTAGGTCCTGTCATCCGAAAGTGACACTCCAAGTTCCCCCAGCATGAGCTACCACCTTCCAGAGAAAAGAGCCCTGGGAAGGTTGCTGAGGTACACTGTCCCTTCATGTGTAGTTTCCTCAAAAAGTCCCTTTTTAAGGGACTTAAAGAAGATACAAATTCCAATTCATTACAAAGTGATTCTTCACCTTTTTAAAAAAAATGTATTTGGTACAGGGTCCCACTACATAGCTCAGACTCATGATCCTCCTATTTCAGCCTCCCCAGCACCGAGATTACAGGCTTGTGCCACCAGGCCTGGTCTTGGTGGCCGGCTCAGCGTGCCCAAGGCAGGGCCAGCCTAACCTGTGGTGCTAGGGATTGAACCACGGTCCCTGCACTTGCCTAAGCAAGCGCTTAGTTCACTGAGCTATCTCACCAGCCTGGTTCTTCATTTTTAAGAACTTCAGGCAGCCCTTCTTTAAATGAACTTTGGCATGTTTAGAAAATAGGGCCTATTTGGGGGCCAGCGAGATAGCTCAATGGTCTAAAGTGCCTGCTTAGGCAAGCATAGGGTCCATGGTTTAATCCCCGGCACCACATGCTGCACCAGCCCTACCCCTAGGGCAAGCTGAGCCAGACACAAAAAAAGAAAACAGGACCTATTTAGATGACATTTACTGATGCTTTTCAGAAACAAATGAATTACATAGACCACCATGCCTGTATACAAATAGTTCTCTATAGTAAAATAAAATGAATAAAAACAGCTGTCTGTGACTTTAGACCAAGATAAGCCAGGAATGGAGGATCCAGGTGAGAACTTCTCTCACCCTCATGTGTACACCAGGACACAGACACACACACTTCTACACGCCTAAGCCCAGACCCACACACACCAACACATGCGCAGGCTTGTGGGCAGGCGTGCTCTCCCGGGCTGTGCTTGCACATACGAGCAGGCAGACACACCCCCAAGACTCTGAACAAGGTCACCATGATCCCTAGTAGAATATCAGAGATGAAAAGTGATTGAGACAAAATATTGAGAGCCCAAAGCCCTTCAGTACAAGGCCCTCGAAGTGAAGGAGGTCGTTCCTGCTCAGGTCCTCTGAGACCCTCTCTGGGCTTAGCATTAGCATAAAGTGGCATCAGGGTTGCCTTCCCCCAGCCTTCCCCCTGGCCAAACTCTTGGGTGCTTAAAGGGCAGAAGTGGGTATTGACCCTGAAGCCCCTGAGCACAATATCCTAATTCAAAGAATCTACCTTTTCCTCTTTAACCTTATTCTTCATTTTCTGTCTCTAACCTTAACCTGTGAATGAACCTAAAGTTTTGATGTTTGTTTTCCCCCCTTGGACTAAACCATTATTTACAGGGGGAGAGGGGGAAGAAAGGCTCTAGAGGGCCTAAAGGGGATAAGGGAGACCAAGGAGCACCTGGATTAGATGCCCCCTGCCCGTTGGTATGTTTTCATCTCTCACTTGTATTGTTCTGGTTTTTCCCTTGAGGTTGGAAACAAAAAAGGCAAATCAGCTAGGATGAGAACCAAATGCCTGCACTGGTGCTACCAGGGTCTGTCGGCTCCCTGGAAAGCCTGCCAGCTGTGGGTGTTGTCCTCAAGCCCCAGCTGCAAATAATTGCGGCTCAATCCCTTTCCTTTGAATCCCTTTGCTTTGAAGATGCAAAACAATTGATGCATGAAGTGAAGAAACCACGGGGCGAGAGGGCTTGGGAGAAGGTCTCAGCTCTTGGCTCTGGCCTGGCTTTGGAAGCCAGTGGAGCATTTGTGAGCCATGATTTGCCTTCTTTGTTTTGTGGCCACTTCTGTGGCCAGCAGTTGTGGTTATCTGACTCCTCACTTGGTCAGGATGCAGGACGCCAGCATTAGACTCTCCTGAGGGCCCCCGATGTGCAGCGGGGGGCAGAACAAGGCCACACAAGGGGCTTTGCATGCACAGCCGACAGCGCCCGCCAGCCAGCCAGAACCTGAAGGCTGCAGGCCAAAACGGGCAGCACGACACCCACAGAGGCCTTCCAGAGGGAGCCAGCATCTGATGATGTGTAACACATCTGACAGGTTTTTCCAAGTTCTTTCAGTCCACACAGTGGTTCTGAAAACTGTGCTGTGCTACAGGTAAAGGTTATCTGCAACTGCATGTGACTCTGTAAACAGACGGGGTCCGTGCGGAGGGGCTGGCTGTACATGACCCCTAACTGAACTCTGCTCACACAGAAGCCAAGTATGGACGTGAGGGGCCCGCCAGGCCTTAGCCCACTTTGTAGGTGTTAAGTGTAAGATGTCAAGGGTCCTGCATCCTGGCCAGGTTAGGACAGGGCCTCTCCACTCCACAGTTGGAGCTGGCCACTCTTGACCTAAATAATCATCGTGGTTGATTTTGTGAACAGGGACATCGAGGTTTTAAAGGAGAGAAAGGGGAACCGGGGTTACCAGGGCTGGACGGACTGGATGCCCCGTGCCCATTGGTATGGCGTCGCCCTGCCTACCTGCATGGCCCAGCTGGGCTTCCCATGTGTGTGGTTTAGACCCGTGTGCTTTCTCCTCCATCCAACCAGACCCCCTTTCCTGCTTTTTCACTCCACGGACATCAAAGGTCACCAGCCAGTGCTCTGAGGGCTCCCAGCATGCTGGCCTCTTGCATGCAGTTTTCTGGGTGTTTTCTTGGCTTCCTCTGGTAGCTGTTTCTGATGCACCTCACCTTGCTCTCCCAGCCCCCAAGCAAGCTTTGGCTGCTTCTGATCCTTCTAGGGACTCCTGCCACCACAGATAAACCAGGGAAGCGCATTCTCTGGTCAAGGTCAAGCACAATTCCTTGTCATGCAGTTAGGGCAGAATGCACCTAGCACACAACTAAGAAGCTATTGGAAGGAATGCCTGAGTCACGGCACCGCCCTGCCCTCTCCCCATTGCACAGTTTGACTGGGGACACATGGGCATGTTCTAGACAGGATAAACTGACGAGTTCAAGAATCAAGGTGAGATAGGAAGTACCTTGCCTGCTCTTCCAGGCTGGGTCTTGGGTCCCTGCCCAGAGGACACCATGAAAACTAGGGGACAGTCCAAGACCAGGTGTTCAGATCCTAGAGGGTTTGTTTCCTTGCATAAATCCCAGAAGACATTATGAGACCCTCTCCTGGTGCCCCTTTCCTGCATCCCCAGGTGGCTCCCCATGCAAGAATCCAGAAGAGCTGGAAAGGCAGAGAACACAGTTCAGGAAGAGGCAAGGGTGCCTCCTGCAGCTGGGTCCTAGACTGAGGCAGCGGCTGGCTCCTTCCTGGTCCAGCTCCTCTCAGGACGCAGATGCTCTTGAGCCTCCTATGATCCTCTTAGCTAGCTGCAAAAGAGCAGAAGGGGACACTTTGCTCCAAGGTGACCAGTTCCAAAGCTTCTACTCACCCAGAGGAGTTGGGACTCAGAAACTACTTTTATATCAGATACCAGCCTTCCCAGCCTCACTCTGGGGGGGGGGGGGGGGCTCAAGAATTGAATGGGAAGAAAACAGTCTAAGAAAAGTGTGGGCATCCAGGTCTGATCTGTCCCTGCTCTGGAGCCTCTGGTTCTGGGATCTGGCCGCCTTGCTGATAGATGAGACCAGGGCCTCTGCAGGCCCAGCATGTGGGTGACCTTGGAGCCCCCTTGAAGGGCACTGGAGCCGGCATAGATCCGGCACAGAACATGCACATGGAAAAGCATGCCTCCTGCCCTGCTGGCTGCCTGCGGCTGCCCCACCACACAGCCTGCACGAGAGCGCTTCTCAGCGCAGGTCTCGGAGCACCTGTCTCCATGGATCCCCACAGGTCTCCCTGGGCCAGCAGGCTATCCCACCTTTGAGCACCTTCAGTTCTGTGCCACCACCTCAGCCTCTCCACTTCTCACCGCATGTGACTTTCCCCCCTCTGCCTGACCCCTCCACTGCACCAGCCACCAATGGGAATGCCTAGGCCTGCAGAGCCTCCTCTCCTCCCAGAGACTGTGGAGAGTGTATCATAGCACAGCGGGCTGGGACGAGGGCAGAGGGCCACCAGGACACTGCGGGATGTACCAGCTACTGTGCGGTCCCTTCCCTAGCCCAGGGGTAACAATGGTCATCCCTTCATGCAAAGTGACATTTCCTCTGGCAGCATCCCACAGCAATGTATCATTTGTCAATTGATGTTCCAAGAAGGATCCTATCTTACCTTTCTGTGTCTCACTTTGCCTCCTGGGGTGTATTCTTAGGAACCTGGGGGTGGGGGACAGGCAAGCTACTGATCAGCAATTTTAGTGCAGAAGAACTCCACCTGTGCCCCCTGGTGTCTGGCCAGCACCTGCTGAAGAACAGGTGATGAGGGGTCAGGTGCCTGGTGCAGGCGGGGAAGTCGGTCTGGCCACTGAGGATGCCTGGGGCACCTCCCTCCTTGGAGCTGAGCGCTTGCTCCTCCCCTGAGCCCCTAGGTCTACTCGGCCCCCGATCTGGGGCCTGCGATTCTGGGATCTGGCTGCCTTGCCAGCAGATGGGACTAAGAACCCGAGCTCTGCCCTTGGCTCAGCCTTGCCTGCTAAGGCCACTGCAAGCTCCCTGGGCATGCCAGAGAGGACTGCACAGTAGGTCAAGGGGACACAGGAAGGTCCCATCACCATGGACAGAACATCCTGAGGCTAGTGTGCCCCGTGGTTGCCACAGACCGTGTGCAGCTGCTCCCCAACCTGCTTCTCTGCCCCCGAATTTCCACAGTGTCTGAGGCCTGGCCAGTCCCTTGTGCTTTTGTTGAAGGCACTCCTGGCTACATGCCAGCACTGCCGAATGCTGTTCCTTTTTACCCCCAATCCCCAACCAGGATTGACCATCACTGGGACTGTCTATTTTTTTTTTTTAAATGTATTTAGTACAAAGTCTACAGGGTCTCACTGTGTAAATTGGACTCGCAGTGATCCTCCTGTTTTCAGCCTCCCAAGCACTGGGATTACAGGCGTGAGCCACCATGCCCAGTCTCAATCCCTGTCTCAGTGCAGATCAAACCCTGACCTCTGTGCTCTGCCTAAGTAGGCGCTTTAGTCTGCAGAGCTGTCTGGTCGGTCCTACTGAGACTGTCCAGATGTCCTCCTCCCATGCTGAGGAAGAGACAAATGAAGGCTCAGGCTAGCTGGGAGGGTCACTGGCTTCTCCCTCTGCCTGGATTTTGCAGCCCCAAGTGCCGAGGGACAAGTACCCAGCACTCCACAGAGCAGCACCTGTCCTCTCCTGGCCCCCAGGACATCTGTGCCCCCTACTCTGGAGGCCAGGGCACCCTTCTTGGCCTTAGCTACAGCCACAGGAGACTTCAGCTGAGTTGGGAGAAGTAACATTATCTCCCACCCCTTCCAAGGGTTTTGATCTTGAATAGAGAAAAGAAACAGACCGTGATGGTGGGCCAATCCCAATGAGCTGTCCAAATGTTTGTGGCGCTTGGCAGCCCTGCCCTGCCTGCTTGGTGGACCAAATCTCAGTGTTCTGCTTCCCTTCCTCCCTGCAGGGTCAAGACGGCCTGCCAGTCCAGGGCTGCTGGAACAAGGTAAGCTCTTCTGTGCCTGCGCCGTTCAGGCAGGGTGGACAGCCCTCCCTGACCAGTGCCACAGGGCTCACCCAGCATCAATTCTGCCTTCCTGCCAAAGAGGCAGCGCGATGTGGGCTGGGAAAGGCACTCCTCGCAAGTGGGTAGTCAGTGAACCTCCCAGGCCCAGCAGCCTAAGCGCCTGCCTGGCAAGTGAGATCCCTGGTACCAAAAGCAAAAAAAGTAATAAAATAAATTATCAACTAGCCACTCTTATAGCATTCAGATGAAGTCATTTAAGCCACATGATATTTATCCAGATAGAGGATACCCACACTATTTACACTAAACTCATGCAGCTTTTTTTCAGGACCAAGGCTTGACCCCAAGGCCTTTGCACTACGCTACCTCCTCAGCCTTCTTTCCTTTTCCTTTTGAGACAGATTCTAGCTGGGTTGCTAAATTGCCCAGGCAGGGCTCACTCAGCTACCCAGAGCGTTGGGTTACAGATGTGCACCACCACATCTGGCTCTCACATGGCTTCGATGCCCGCTCAGAGAGACTGTCCAGTGTCCAGTTTTGCCCCTCCCCATTGCACCTCAGCCATGGCAGCCTCATGTTTGCACACGTACCCTGCAGCCGTCTTTCCCAGGCTCTTTAGCATTCTGGCCAGCGGTGAGATTTTGCTGATTCACCTCTGCCTTGGTATTTGCCACTATAGAGCCGCTGAGGCCGCAAGTTCAAGCCCCTCCACAGATCTCCCCATTTGGCCCTGGCTATTTCAGAAGCCCACCTCCTGGGCTGCCTCCCTCCCCGTGCCTCCTGCCCAGCCCTCCACCGACACTCTCTAAAATGCATGGGGACCCCAACTTGCTCCAGGCTCATGTTCAGCTGGTCTAGTCCTGTGCCAGTGACAGCAGAGCCACACGTGCAGTGGGATGAATAAGCTCCCTGTGCTCCTGTGCTATTGTGCAGTCTCACCACCCACAGGACCACATGAAAGTGGTGAAGTGACCCGGGCACCCCAGGCCCTAGGTTGGACACCTATGTGTTGGGGTAGCCAAAGTACTCCCCCCCCCCCAACCAAAGAAAGAAAAAGCTCAACACCCCAGGAGCTTCCTCATGTCGCTCTGTGCCCTACAAGATCTAGGTGAAGCTCCACATTATCCCAGGACACAGCCCTTTGTCCCCAAGGAAGAATTTCTGCTTCAAGGGTGCAGCTGATGGTCCAAAAATAAAAATATCCCTGAGCTTAGCAAGGGAACAGCAGCTGCTATCGCGAGAAGTTTTCAAGAAGTAACAAACTAGAGAGCTTCCTGTTCTTTGGTCCACACCCCCTGAGTTCCATGTGGGACGAAGTCAGAAGCAGCCAAGACAGAATACACGAAGTGCCCTCTAGTGGCCATGCAGGGGAGTCACTGGAAGGCGAAAGGAATGTCCCACCCTCAAGGTGCTTGAAGTCCCCTGTTCTCACCCAGGGTTCCCATCCAACCCAGAACAGGATCCTCCTCCTCGCTTACAGGGACATAAGCACCCACAGGCCCCCTGGGAACTAACTGTGCGCTGTTTTGCTTTTGTCTTGCAGTGACACCTCTAACCTCGGACTGGCCTGTGTGTGTGTTTATACATAGAATATTTATTTTTATACAGTTTTCACTTTTTGAAAATGCCAGAAGTATGATGCATCTTACAGATTATTAAAAGAGGAAAACTTGCATATTTTGTACAGAAAATAACACCTCTCCTTTTGTTTACAAGATTTTTGTGTAAGTCTATGTCTCTAATACACTTCCTGTTTGTGAGTACAGTCCCAATGTTTGCATGATATTCGTGCATACTTATTTACATAGAGAAGTTTAATAAATTATTGTGTTCCAGTGCCAAAGAGGGTGACCAGCACCCAAGTGCCGCTGGCTGGTGGGAGTCTCCCCATAAACACAGAGGTCGGGATGGTTACCAGACTAGGTGTACCTAAGAATATTTATTAACAATTCTGGATTTTCATTATTAAAAAATGAAACATGACAGTTCATGATCCTGTTTAATCACTACACAGATTCTTTCTTGTGCAAGCAGGAAGTCCAAGAAGCAGGGGTCCTCAGAAGTATAGAGAAATGCCTTAAAGTGTTAGGCCCAGCAGAGGGAAAGAGGGCAGCTACTAGGCAGCTTCTTCTCTAACTTAGTCCAAGTTCATCATTTGAGCAGTTGGGGTTCAGGCTGTGACCCACCCCAAAATACACAGTGTCTGTTTACTATTGCTTTTAGGTTTAAGTGGGGTTTTTTTCCCCAATATGTTTGGTACAAGGTCTCACTACGCAGATTGGACTCCTAATGATCCTCCTTTTTCCAGCATCCTCAGCGCTGGGATTACAGGCATGCATCACCACACTCAGTCTCAGTGGCTGGCTCAGCATGCCTGGGGGCAGGGCCAGCACAGCATGTGGTGCCAGAGATCAAACCCCAGTCCCTGTGCTTGTCCAAGCAGGTGCTTAGTCTGCTGAGCTGTCTCTCCAGCCCTTGGTGGGGATTTTGTCTATATACTCGTTTTGTTTTTCCCTTTTGAGCTACAATTTTTCATGCTGGTCCCTTGATAGGAATTTGTGTGTTCACACACATCTAGATGGGGAAGAGGCTTTGCCTCCCCTACCATTTGACACCAGCAAAGGACAGTCAGGACGCATCTCCAGATCTGGGCCACCTGGGTCAGCCTGAAGTTGTCTTTAGTTTTTAAGAAATTGAGTTTCAGGGCCCGCCTGATAGCTCAGCAGACTAAAGCACTTGCTTAGGCAGAGCACGGTGGCCGGGGTTCAATGCCCAGCTTGACATACCGGCCCCACCCCTGTGGCATGCTGAGATAGGGATTGAGACTGGGTGTGGTGGCGCACACCTGTAATCCCAGCACTTGGGAGGCTGAAAACAGGAAAATCGCTACCAGTCTGATCTACACAGTGAGCTCCTATAGACCCTGTAGACCCTGTCCTAAATACATTTAAAAAAAAAAAATCAAGTTTCCATTCATAGTATACCCCTTACCATAGGAAAGTTGTCCAGAAGCCTACCTCCATGACTAGGAGGTATTACTGTGGCATGCCATGCAGTCTCTGGCTGTTTTCCAACATAAACTGGTACTTCTAAAGAGCTTAAAGACCCTTGACCCAGGAGTTGAAGTCCCCCTCATCCTGTGTACATTTTTCTTCATCCATACTTTCTTCATAATCTGCAAAAGGGAAAAGTAAACTCGGCCTCTGTCCACACCCAGGGGGACAGGAATCAAGCAGGGGACCACATGTTGGGGAGGGCCTGCCTGTCACGGGGTAAGCCCACACCCTCGACCTCTTGCTTCCCAGACCAGAGGGGCTGCCCAGAATTCTGCTTCTCAGTGGCGACCCTGTTATTTTGGAAATCAGATCACTCCTCCTCCAGGTCTCAGCTTCCTGAGGTGAAGAGGGAGGCCATTACACCAGAGCTGGTCTCTGCGGACATGAACAGGGTACAGCTGCTGCCTCCCTGCAAGGTGCAAAGATGTGGCCAGCCAGGCTTCTGTCCCCAGCTGGCACCGCAATTCCAGGACGTGGCGCTTTCTGGGTCACCCAGAGCACAGATCCCTGGGACCTGCCCTGGGCAGCCTCCTCTTCGGGCACAGTGGCGACAGGGACTGGGTCCGTAATACCCTTAGGGGCTCCAAAATACTTTAATTTTTAGTGCTTTTAGATTGCAAAGCAAAAAAGAGAATATCTGGCGATGAATCCACCCAGGAACGTATTTGCCTTTCCACCTGCAGTCACCATATACAGTTTTAATGTGTGCTTTGTGGAGGAAGGGACCCCCAAAGGCGAGTGCCCAGGGCCCCGAGGGTCACAGTGCAGCCTGCCCGTGTGCCCTGTTCCCTGGAATCCAGCCGCTCTGCGGGTTGCCCCCTCCAGCACCTGCCGCCCCATCCCAAGAGATGTCCTGACTGGGCTCTCTGGAGTCCTCAGAGCCATTGCCTGCTTCCCTTTCTGGCTGTGGGTGGAGCCATCACAACTTATCCATCCCCTCCGGGGCAGAGGGACCCATGATGGGCAGCTCCAGACCAAGACTCTGAAACAGCCAAATCCTCTATATGAGCAGGAGCACCCAGAGACCTCTGCTGCTTGATTTGGTCCTAGTGTTGTTCCTTCACTTATTGCACCCCAGCCACTGCCACAAAGGACTCAGTCACCTTTACGAACAGCTGCAAGCCAGGCATAGTGGTGCAGGCCCCAGGATCCCAGCACTCTGGGAGGCTGAGGCAGGAGGGTCACAAGGTCAAGCCTGGTCTTAATAAGGCTCTGTCTTAAAATTAAAAATAAAAGACAGGTTGGAGTCATAACTCAGCGTGAAGGCCCTGGTTCAATCCCACTACTGGGTTTTTGTTCTGTTCTGCTTTATTTTGCTTTTCTTGGGGACAGGGTCTCCCCATGCAGTGCAGCTGGCCTTGAACTTCTTTGTGCAGCCCAGGCTGGCCTTGAGCTCACTGCTACCCTCCTGCCTCAACCTCTGTGTCACGTGTGGCACAGAGAAATTACAAGAAGGGGAGCCAGACCTGAGGGTGCCACCACCGAGCCCCCAGCACTCGGAGGCTGAGGCAGGAAATGACCTGGGGAATACAGTGAGTTCAAAGCTGGCTGACCTGTGCAGGAAGGGGACCAGATGTGTACCGAGCCACTGGGCAGCATTCCTCATGCCCAGGGATAACCCTGGCCTCCCACGCTGGCAAGGTCACCCTCTGCCACTGCCTTAGCCCTCGGGAGAAGGCTGCTGTGCAGCCAGCCCACAGACTGGCTTCTGGACCTTATCTCCCACTCACTAACCAGCCACCTGGCCCAAAGTGTCTCAGTCCCGGTCTTTTTCCCCAGTGTCAGAAGCACAGCTCACCTCCATGAGCCCTCCCGCTCTGGCACCCCTGACAGGTCAGCTGCTGGAGGGCCATGGACCCCAGACCATCGTACATCCCCTCACCTGGGCCACCTGTGGTCACACTGAGCATGGCATGCGGTTGCAGAACTGTGTGATGCATGTGTGTGCTTATAACCCTGGGTAATCAAACCCCGTGGACCTGGGCCACCCAGGAGGCAGGGAATGGGGCCCACTTCTCTGACAGTAAGGATCGCTGTGGAGGCTGCACCCAGAGGGCTTATGGGAGCATGAGTGTTGTAGCTTTCACCACCTTCCCTGCTCCTATCAGGACCAGCCCGGGCCTCTGTGGTCCAGGACTGCCTCTGTCAGGCTGCCTCAGAAGGAGCCCGAGACTCTGTAACATAAACAGAAGAGAAGGGCAGGCTCTGAGTGCTTGTTTCAGAGAAGATGGGGAGCAGATGGAGAGGCAACAATGGAGCCAGCCTTCACTTCTCCAGAAGTACAGGCTTCCAGACCATGGAGGGGAGGATATCGCCCTGGGAAGGGACACTGCCCTGAGCACTCGGGCACAATGCACCTGGACTACGTCCAGCAGAGGACCTGCTTCTAGGGAAGCCTGGCCTGAGCCAAGCCCAGGCCCTGCAGAAGGAGGACACAATCAGAGGCAGGCTGGGCTGGGAGCTCAGCCCTCGGCCCCCGGGCATCCCCAGTCTAGGGCCCGCACCCCACACACACCCTCTGCTCTCTCTGCCATACACCTGCCTCTTCTTTCAGTTAGGCCCAGGGAAGACACTCTGGTCTCCAAGTTGGATGAATCTCCCTGGAACTCAGGCTTCTTCTCTTCCTCCACCTTACATTTGAGGCGGGAGACACCTCCCAATTAGGTGAACCCAAGAGGACAGGGGCTTTTTTTAATCATTAGGCAGGCTCCTGAGGGATTGGCTCAACGTCTCAGCTCATACACGTCTATGACTGCCATGTTATTAACCAGCTTTATGAGGCAACTACTATGTGCATGTTCTGCACTTCCTACAGGACAAGCAGGAGTGGGGGTGGGATCAGTCCTGCCCACCAGGACCACATGGGCAGGGAGCTGTGTGCTACGCACTCAGTGAGGACCACAAGGGTCTTGAAGACAGAGGACACTGACAGGCAGCATCACCAGGGAAAGAGAGGATCAGCTCAGATGAGAAGGAGCAGTCACCTCCTTGGCACATGCTCCCCTCACTGTCAGAATCCTGTAGGGCGACAACCCTGGGCCATGTCATCTCAAATCTAGGGAGGACAAGTGGGTCAGGAAGGCAGGTTCCAGCTGGGGCCTGGAGGAGGGGGCTCTAGCTCCCAGAGGGCTCCCGTAATGGGCCAGTCTCCAGCAAGGCTCCTCCAATGCACCCTCTCTGTACCTCCTCAAGGGCCAGAGTCCTTGGTTGGTCGCCAAGAAGTGAAGATCACCAGCCCAGAGCCTCAGGAACACGCCTTGCCTGGGAGGAAGAAGATGATGGCGGGCTGCCCCGGGACCTCCCCAGGGGTCTGCTCTGCTGAGCTGCTCAGAGGGTGGTGACAGGAGAGCACAGCCTCCCCCGGGGTGAGCATTCAGGAAGACCAGCCCAAACTCTCCCATTCAGGCCCTCCAGGCTTTCAGGGGTTCCACTTTGGCTGTGATTTCCAGGGTTTTTGGGCTCCCCTTTCTGGTGGGAACCATGGCTTTTTGGAGCAAGGACTACAGCAGGGACTATCCAGGAAGCCATGGCCAGAGACCTGGCATTTTTCCCAGTCCCTTCTTAACAGAATTCCTTTTCTATCCTTTGGTGCTTCCACCATTAACTGTTTGACTTTCTGGGTTCTTGGGGATGTCAGAGGCAGATGCAAGTTCCAAGCCCGAGTAGCAGAAAGCATTTGCCTTGGAAAGGGAAAAGGCACCCCCAAGGGCAACGCTGTAGCAGTGGAAAAAGCTGGGCGCGAGAGCCTGCGCGGTCACACTTCTGATCTGGCACCCTGCGAAGCCTCAGCCACTGCTGAACGCACAGGGATGGACGCTGGAGGAGGCAGGTGGACACTGCGTGGAGGACAAAGGCGACCAACCCTGTTCTCCCCTCCGGTGGGAGGGTGAGGCTGGAACACAAGAAATCTCACTTC